TAAAATATAATTTTTGTACGTTTTTTGGATTTTTCTACATCTTGCTACTGTTGTGGTGTTCTTACAAAAAATTGCTTAGACATTTTGTTATGCTATATTATTACCAAATATTGGATTCAATCTTTTTATCAACTTGTTTTCTTTCAATTAGCACAGGTTTTGTATTTCTTTTTGGAACTGATTGATCGTAGGCTTCACTGATCCCAGCTTATGCATCTCAGTTTTTGAGTGAACATTGCAAATATTATCCACAAATAATGCTTTTTTTCCACTCATAAGGTACATAAGCTGAGATCAATGAGGCATACAAACAGGGTTTGAAATTAACACCCACCAACCTGCCAAATGCGGGTAAAAATCAGTTGTGGCGGGTAACGCTGTCAAATCACTAGCCAATTTGGCAGGTTACTTTTCGTAAATTATGTTCACTCATTAATTTCTTCGGAAAGTTCATGCAAGCCAAATCTGCGCAGGTTTAACGCAAATACTGAACTCATGAGACATCATGACATTATCGAGTATATTGCAAAAACCAAAAAAAATAAACCTACAGAGGCACGCATACACGACGAGATGAAGTCTGGTTAGACCAAAACTAAGGATTTAGTGCGCGTGCGCATTTAGAGTGGTTCTTTCACGGCATGATTCAGTCTATTAATATGCATTAAGAATGATCACATAATTCAAGGTAAGGAGGCAGAAAATTTATATATTTATATCAGTTCATATAGTTAATCAATATCACACAAAGAGTGCCGTTTTTTCTTACAAAATCAGCATGGTTACAAATGTGATATTTATTTTATACAACAGTTCAATAAACAACAAGTTAATATCAAGAGACTTACGTTTTAGACAGCATATTGGCTGTTTTTGCGCTATTTCTGTGCTATTTCGCCAACAAAAAAACATTCCAAACACAGCCACAGTACTGTTTTGTGTCTCTGAGCAGGATGATGGTGTTTTGTTCCCGAATGAATCAACCGTTAAACGATTCGGTTCATTCACAATGACTCACTTAACAGGGACTTGCTGTCACCTACTGGCGGTTTTAATTTCACATTTAAAGTATCTTTT